CATCATCTCTCCTCTTTACTTGTCAGATCAACTTTGCTAGTGTCTCCGCTGAAATGGCATCACCATGCCAGCTGCCACAAGGTGATTTTTCATGTCTTGTCAAAGAAATCTTTTATTCTATTTGCTCTGCATTAACATGTTACATTTATTGATCAAGCCCTTTCTGCAGCCACAGCAGGGCACTGTGCTCTTATGCCTAAGGGGGCTTTGATGTCCTGGTGACATTCTAGACCAAATAATGCACATACTAAATGGATTTAATGCAGAAATGTGTTTGTGCATGACAGCTACATTAATAACAGCCCCTCATACTGATAAATATGCAATTGCTACGATTAAGAGTTACCCAATTATGGTGAAAATATTTTTCTATCTTATAAATAAAACCATCAAAAAGTTTTAACAATAGTGCATTTTCTTCAACATTCTAAAATGCTATAAAGATGAGTCTAAAGGCTTTAAAAATATGTCATGCTTTGTTTTGAATTTTGGCTTTTATTTCCCTCTCTCTTTTGTTTTTCATCTTTCTGTTCTGTGTATCTTATTGCTGCACAGACTGGGAAGGTGGTAAGAAAAAAAAAAGCCTCTCTTTCACATACTCAACTCACAAAGAGGAACATGCCCTGTAAAAACTGAAGCCCATTTTCAGGCTGCCACTTGCATATTCCCCCAGGCAAGAAAACAGTAGGCAGAAGAGAGAAACAACAATCTCAAGTCCACAGAGAGGATATTACAAAGGCTCAGCCTCACAAAAGTCACAGAGGAACATTCCAGACTAGGATTATAGTTCAAGGGGATGTTTTCATATATACACCTTCTTCATCAGAGAGTGGAAATTATGCACAAGCTGTGCACATACTGTGCAAATTATTCATGCTCCTAGTAGAAATAATGTGCACCCTAGAGAGAGGGAAGAGATACTTGTATCTCTACGAGCACAATTATTGGATTAATCCTTCCTCATTGGCCAAGATTAAAGATTCACTCTCCCTTTCACCTCATAGCTTAGACCCAGAAGAAATCTCTGTAAGAAAAAGGAAAACAACTCACATGCTTAAAACTACTGAGTATAAAATTACAAGGTGGACTTCTCTGTGAATTTAACTGTAGATGTTATTTATAAAAGCATGGCACCTATTTGTACAAAATCACTGATAACAAGTTATTCAAGCACTGGAGTGCATTTAACCTTTTATGTGAAAGGAAAAATTTGGTACAAATAAAGTTATCTAGGACAAATAAAAAAAGTTTTGAATAGATTGTGGGTTGTTTGGGGTTTTTTTCCCCCACAAGACAGCATGATGCATCTAAAAAATTTCTTTATATTCCATCAAAATCTCTACTGTCTACCGACATTACATCCTTCCTGCTTACTTATTGCTCTCTTTCCTTACCAGTGACTATTTACCTTCTTTTTTAATGAAATCTTTAACTTTCTATGATCAGTGAACAATAGTTTTTTATTCCCTCTTAAAATCCTTTACAGCAAAGTCTCTCAGTAACACCAACACATCAGTGACTTTTCTTCCCATAGTCTATACCTTCATTAAATGGGACTTGCGGAATGTTTTCGACTTCTTATGAAAGGCCTCAGTTATCAGGGAAAGCTATCAAATACAGTTGCCATGAGAGACTCAGGAGCAGATTCCCAAAGCAAAACACCTCTACTCCTGAAACATGCCTTATTGAAAATACACAGTGTAAATTGTTCATTTCTAAAATAGCTGAAAATCACTACCAACATTAAATCAAAAGAGCTGCTACAACTCAGGCCATTATGACCACACCAATAAAGCTGCAGAATAACAGTATTTTAGTTGAAAGGGGCATCTAGAGGTCTTCTAGCCCAATTCCCTGTACAGAGCAGGGGGACTTCAAAGTTAGATCAGGCTGCTTGGGGCTTTGTCCAGTTGCAGTTTGAATAGCACCCAGGACGGAGATTCCACAGCCTCTCTGGGCACCTCTTCCTCTCAACCTTCCCCGTCGTGGTTGGAAATTCCCTTGCTGCAGCCAGTGACAACTGCCTCTTGTTCTTTTGCTGTACATCTGACAAGAGTGTGGCTCCATCTTCTTCACAACCCCCCGTTAGTCCCAAAAGGAAACAAAAGACATAAGAAAGCATTTAAGCAACATCTATAAGGAAAACAGCATGAGAAGAAAAAATTCAGAAGTGGACTATAGTTGTCTGGGGTTGAAGAGTTTCTGTCTCTCAGGGATGCAAATAGGTCACAATCCAGTGGCACCGTATCTTCCTGATTACAGCCAGCATCTTTTAAGCAAACACTATTTTTTTCAACTGCCTCATATACAACAAACTGCTGTTACTCCTCCTTTTTCCCAACATCCCCAGAAGGTCCCTTCTGCCATTCACCTCTATCTTTCCTTTCCCTCAGGGAAAAGGGGAGACACACAGCTATTGCAACTTGTAACAGTCACTTTGGCTGCCAGAAGAAAGAGCTGGGTCCATGTACTGCGCAGGGTAATCAAGAAGAGACACTAGTTCTTAGGAAAAGGCAAACAAGAAAGAAAATTATTTTTAAAAGCAATTTTTTGTGATTATATGTATCAACTGTTGTTATTAGATTTACCACATATGATGCAAAGAGAATAAGGCATCTACACAAGGCCTCAGGTTTTTTATAAAGAAGAAGGGGCTCTAGCCTGGAAAGAACTCTGAAGTCAGAAAAAAAAATGGTGAAAAAGATACGTTTTCATCTGCATTAAATTGCCAGCTCAAAAGAACTAATTACAACCCCTCCCCTCCTTTACTTTAATGTGTATATCTTACAGCCAGAAAGAAAATTATCAGAGAAATCTGAATAACAAAAACATCATACTAAGAACATTTGGTCTTCCTTTTTCCTTTGAATGAACACACACACTCTCATCTAATAATACATCATATTTTAATGAAAACTAACATATTTACTGCAAATATTATTGTGCCAGCAAAGCCTATTATTCTCTTCATTTTTCCTATATTTTGATCACCTTTGGCCTTCTTCATTCAACTTTTGCTTTTACCAACAGATAACAAGTTGCAGTAGAAAATGAAACTTGTTTTTAAAGCAACATTAAGTGTGGACATTAAGATTCTCAGCATACTAAACTAAACTTTTGAAATTAGGCATTCACTGCTAAAAATCATAAAACTCATTGCTATACTACAGCATTGTCAGATTTTTCAAGTAATAATACTTGTTTAAAGAAGATGAAACTGCTTACACTGGCTTCAACAGCTGCCCAAGGCATTCTTCTATACTGATGTTCATTTAAGGTTATAACACTTATTCTATATTTTATCTGACTTTCTCTATAATATGTAGGTACAGGGTTTATATAGGAGTGCAGACCAGTCTGAACAGCTACTATACCATAAATACTTAATTCGTAGTTTTTATATGCTTAGTATATCTATCACTGCTTAAATAAAAAAACATTACACAGCTAGCTCTCATCAAACTTAATATTAGGTTCCCAAAGCTTAAAAAAAAAAAAAAAAAAAAAAAAGGTGGAAAAAATAATAATCCCCCTTTCCCCAAATCTGATTTCTGGTCTTAAGATACTTTCACAGATTTACAACTGTAAGCTATCCTATATCACAAGCTGATTGTTCTCCCCTAAACCTCAATAAAACCAAATCATATCCCTTCTGAAAAATTGGCTAAGTGATAGTGTTTTAGGCAGAGAAGGAAAGAAGGGATGAAAACACAGATTTCAGAAATATAGCACCAATTGAGCCCTCCATGAAAACAGGATCAGAGTTTTACAGTGGTATTTTACATCCAAATTTAATGTTACTATTTTACTCTGTAAAATAAATTCAGAGGAACTGTTCTTCAAAACATGCATTAAATGAAAGAAACCTTTTTTTTTCTCCAGAAATGTAAAGAAGGAGCAGTCTTGTTGATGACATGCTAAATCTAAATACACATACAGATCTTGAATTATCTTCATGACAAAATGAAAAAAAAGCCCATTCAATCCCCTCCCCCAGAAAAATTCTCTCTTCTGATAACAGTTTCCACAGGTTCAGAGTCATCACCCAGAAGTATAAGACAATAATACACCGATTTAGTGCCTCCTTTGCTCTGCTACATCTTGCATGTAGGAATCAGTCCTTCAGAGTTGACAGTGACTCAGGATAACATTTCTGAGTGTTAAGTAAGTTAAACCAATGTTTGTTCCTTCTAGGAAAACAAGGCATCAGCACACTACTTGTCTTACCCCTCACAAGCAGATTCTAAGATTATCCTCAATAAAATAAAAGGAAAACTCAAATGAGTCCAACTCCATCACTGAAAAACTACATTTTTTTTTCTTAAACAGATTACACTCCAATCCTTTCTCCCTACTTACCTGCAGATTTGCCAACCTGAAAAATAGACTGCTGAACCTCAACTAACTCCCTCACAAGGAGTAAATGAAAAAGGATTCTGTAAAAACTAATAGGAATACTACAGAATTCTAAATCAATCCATATATTTAAATAATTAGAAAGAATTACAAATTCTAACTGCACTTAGCTTTAGCATTTTACTACATAGCTGCCCAAAAATAAAATCATAGAACAAAATACACCATCTAGGAAAAGAGCATTATAAACCATTTATGATAAAAACCTGAGATCTATAAATTAAAAAAGAGGGAGAGAAGCACACACTTACTTGTGGTTTGGTTAAGAAAAATTCACTTTTTTTCCCATTCTTCACTTCATCAGGTAATAACACTTATTTTACAATTTGAGCAGAAAACAAACCATAAACTCCTCATTGGGCATCACTTACGTTAACACAATAAATTTCCACACTCACCTGGTTATTTGTGTTCCAAGTGTGCAAAAAAAGGAGACAAACATTATGCATAAAATAGTGTTTTCCACTTGATAACAACTAAATCTACCTGACATATATATATGTTTCTACTTTGGAAAAAAAAATATTTTATTTTAGGAGTTGGCATCCCATATTGCACTTTAAAATCTATATATTGCCACATACCTTAACAAGTTGAAGCTAAGATCTAGCCGTTTTGCCATATGTCCATATTTTCGTCCTAGGAATTCTGGAATTTCTTCACAGTCTTGACTAATGTAGGACACCTGTGAATTGGAAGCAGAAAGGAAACATTTTGTAGGTGGATTCAGTTTCCTGTCCATATTCTATCTCATTGATACAATGACAACATGCAATACTGTGAATATTCACTACAGCTTTAAGCTACGTAAGTTTTACTGCTATAAAATCTATCACAATCTCATTTTTCCATTGATACCATCAACTTAATATATATATTACATCTACAGTCTTATGTACAATGCTTTGCCTCCTTTCAGGTAAAAATAATTTGTTTATAAAAATCAGCCTTCTTCAATTTCACTATTAATATTTTGATCTAACATTTCTTTCTATTACCATTCTGATACACTCCAGAAGAAATTTGAAGGATCAGAAGCCATCGAAAGGACGTTCTAGTTTGGCCCTCAATATACAATACACTAAAAGACTGTTTTGTAAAGTTTGGTGCAGAAATACCTAAGCAGTGTACTGTCAATCCACTCTCAGAACTATTCACTGAGAAGATTATTCCCAGCAACATACCAGGGATAGAGCAAAAGGGCTGCCTGTGATGTGAAAAACAAAGCATGCAGCTTTTTTTCAGACAGTCATGTAAGTCTCAAAGATTTCTGGTTTCAACACCTATGGTTCAGATCACACTTCTCATTACACCCAAAATACTCCTAAATGCCCATCTAACCAATCTTTAGCAAATATAGGAAGAATGAATGGTAACAAAAAAACCAGTCTACTCAGATTTGCTTGTTTGGTCTGGGTTTATTTATTTTTTTTAGCCAGGATTAAGTGATATTATTTCCAGAAAAAATACAAACAACAAAACACCCAAACTTGTTCTTTCTGCTGTACTATTTTAGAAGTCATTGGTTTGATTTCTTCAAAGAAACTCCACAAAGCCTGCCAAACCTATTGTCAAGAACTCTATACATCTATATTGGTTCATCATCTCAGTGTTCAGAGATTGTGAACTTGTAACTCAGTTAAGTGAACTTCATCACTGTATAAGACCACTAACTATATGATATTGTTATTATCTCCATGTTTAATAGAAAGTCAATTTAAACACCATATTCCACTGGTCTAAAATATGCTAGATGAAAAGCACACAAAAACAAGTCCATCAAATTTTGTTTTCATAGTATTTCACCTTCTGTTAAAATAGAGATTCCTCTGCAGAACAGACTGACCGTATGCACTTTTGCAAGTCATCCTGGTCTCTTACACTCTAAAAATTATTGCAAACTGATAATACTGTATAGCATTCCTTTTAATTAATTTTGTTCAATAACTTCAATAGATAAAGCTGACAAAAGTGAAATAATTTTTACAAGCAGAAAAATAGGTAGCTTGAAGTTCAGTTTAACAACTTCTTCCCCTTATTAAATTATACCTTGGCTTGCAATACATTCTCCTACCAGATGTACACATGATTTTAGCAAATGTAAGGACAAAAGGGGAAGGAACTGTTTGGGGTAATTGGCATCCTATTGGTTTGGATCTAACAAAATGTTTTGCAGAATTTGTTGAATTAAATATGTGGGGGGTTTCCTCCAATTTACATCCAAATTAAATTTCTATGCATTTTACAGCATACACAAAGGTATACATAAAAGAATTGCTTCATTTTTCATTAAATGGTAGATTTCTTTAAATTAATGCTTGTGAACACTTCAAATGTCATCACGTTAATAGCAGAATAATACTTCGGGTTAAGTATTTGGTTCAATGTTAATTCTTGAAACAGAAATTACTAAAATATGATGCCTGCTAACACTAGGAGTGCAAGACCACCTTGAGCAACTACAAACACAGCAGGAACACAGACAACTTTGCTTTTGACCCAGGGAGGGGTGCTGGAGAAGAAGCCAGGGACTCTGGCCTGCATTCCCACAGCTTCAGAAACTTACCTGGCCATAAACGCTCTACCTCCACAAGAATCGAAGCTGAAGAAAAAGGTTCAAGCAAATGTGTTTTGGAGCACAGAAGAGGCAAAATACATAAAATGCTGCAAAGCTTCAGCCTTGGAACTGTTATAATATACATATATGTACAAACAGATTATTTACAGGCATATCTGCAGATGACATATGGTTATCCTGACCTTTTAACACTCAGGTCTTTTGAAAGGGATTTTACTTCCACACAGTTCACTTCAGCACATTCACAATACAAACACGTTTTTCAATTTAAAGCAGTTATATTTATTTTTTAGAAAATACATAAAGGGCATTTTACTTTGTATTTCTACACCCCACATACATGAATTTTCTTCAAATACCTAACAGCCCTCTTCATGGTAAGAACAGCAGCAACTGCCAGCAATGAAATACATGATAAACCTTTTTGAACAAGTTTTCCCAACTCTTTAGTATTTGAACATTGTTGACATAAAACAAGACTTTAGTAGTCTGGACAAGAAAAGAAGAATATTTCTTCATTTTTGTTCTTGCAGTTCAAAATCATTTCCTCAGGAAACAATAAAATGTACTTTTGCATCCATCTCAAATGCTCTCAAAATGAGGATGAGCTTTCAAGTACATATCCAGATATGCCATCACAGAGATGAGAGCAAGCGTGCTTTTCCTAAGACTTCAGCTCTTTGGCTGCACAGCGCTTCAGTAACAGCGGATTTCTTAGATTTTTCTATACCAATCACAGAGCATCACATAGGATTAAAAACTGGATGTAGAGGTCTCCAGTGCCTAATTCTCCAACTCAAATATAGTACAGGTTGGTCATAGTCAATCATTCTTATTACTGGTGCCCTGTTCAATATCCCACTGAGATGCTCAGAAAGTTTCCCACAAAGCCAAGCATCAGATAGGCTGTGGATGTCTCAGATACTGTTGCAGGCTCTTCAACACACTGTATGCAATTTGGGAAAAAAATATGTCTTCACAAAATATTTAGAACATAAGTTAACCAGTCAAAAGCAGTTGCATGCTCAAGGGAAGAAGGCAGCATGTTACTCAGTGCCACAGTGCACCACAGAGACCCCAGTAACCGTTTCCTGAAGCATCTGCAAAATTAGTCAATTGCCTTCATATCACACACACATTTACATGAATTCCATACAGAATAGTGACCAGATTAAAGAAGCAATTAAATAGGCTGCACCCTGGCTTAATGGCAAGCCATTTTTAAAAAGAAGACAAGTTTCATTCATTCTTTGGTGGGGGTAAGAATAAATAATCTGCTAATTTTAACCAAAGGTTCAGCAGTAATGTCACTAATTTCTAACCAGAAAATTTTTCAGTAGCCTTATAAACCACTGGGTAAAGGCCAGCAGGATATTTTCCAACTTCTCTCTAACCGAAACGAAACGTCCATAGTGCGTACTTTCAGGAGGAACAACACTTAGCAGATCTCAGTCCTTCCCCTTCAGCTTTTTCCCGCAGCCCACTCAAGGCCCGAGAGAGCACGCGGGGCTCAGCCCGGAGCACGACGCGCTCCTGGCCCGCCGGGCCCCACTCCGGCTGCACCGCACATCTCGCAGGGAGCGAACAGAGCTTCAGCACAGCCCAGGAATGCGCCTGTTGCACGGCAGCAGCCAAAGCGGCAGAGCAGCACTGCCCCGTCACCCGGACCCCGGTGCTTCGCTATCTCCCAGCTCTGAGAAAGCACCGCCGGCACACATCCCCCTCCCCAGCCCGTGGGGCTCTGAGCACAACCCTGGGGCCACCCGGCGCCGGCGGGGGCGGCTCCTCGGCCCCTTCCCTTCGGCGGCCTCGGGCCAGCGCGGCTGCGAAGGGGGGATACCTGCGCGAGTCCCTCGCGCGGTGCTACGAGAGGCTCAAAACCAACCCGCCTTGGCCCCTTGCGAGACCGCCCCCCCTCCGCGCGGGACCTCCCCCGGCCGGGACCGGGGCCGGGGCCGCAGAGCGGCGGGAGCCGGCGCGGAGTTGGAGCAGCCGCCCCCCGTGCCGGGGGCGGAGACGCGCCGGCCGGGGCGGGCTGCCCCCGCAGGTGGGGCCGCCGCCGCACGGGCTGCGGACACTTACTTGGGCTCCACTCACCACGACCCCTGCCATGGCTGCGGCGTGGCCGGGGCTCGGCGGGCTCGGGGCCGGAGCGGGCGCGCCGCTCCTTGCAGCAGTCAGCTGACGCGGGCGGAAGCGCGGCCGGGCCGGGGGCGGCGGCAGCGCCAGCGCCGGGCTCCGGATGCCTCTGCGGCCGCGCGGGGGGCGCAGCGCCGGCCCCGGGTAGGACCGGGGTCTCCAACGCGGGGCCGACAGGCGACAGCCTGGGGCGAGGGGCTGTGTGTGTGTCCAGGCCCCGGGCGTCCCTGTCCGGCAGCCGCTCCGGGTCCCGCTGCCACATCCAGCCTGGAACGCTAGTCCAAAGCGGCACACAACCGACTCACAGCATCACAGGATCAGTTAGGCTGGAAAGGACCTCTGAGACCATCCAATCCAGACCGTGACCAAACACCACCATGTCAATTAGACAGTAGTACTGAGTGACACGTCCAGTCTTTCCTTAAACGCCTCCAGGGACAGTGACTCCACCACCTCCCTGGGCAGCCCATTCCAATGCCCAATCACCCTTTATGTGAAGAAATTCCTCCTAATGTCCAACGTAAACCTAACTCAACTTGAGGCCATGTCCTCTTGTCCTGTCGGTGGTTGCCTGGGAGAAGAGGCCAACCCCCACCTGGACACAGCCTCTTTCCGCGGAGTTGTAGAGAATGATAAGAGCCCCCTGAGCCTCCTCTCCTCCAGGCTCCTTCAGCAGCTCCTCGAAAGACTTGTACTCCAGACCCTTCACCATCTCCTTTGCCCCTCTCAGCACTGGGCCAGGACTGCATGTTGGACTGTGATGGTGGTGGAGTAGGACCTGAGAAGAAGGGACAGAAATCACCAATCTGTGACACCGACAGAGGAATTGGGGCTTGGATTTCATTTCCCATAAATAGCTAGATGACTTGGAGGATTATCTGGACCGGCTTTCCACCTATTAAGCAGCCCATTAGTTCATAGCATAAAGCATAGCTTACCTTTTTAGGAGATATATATCACTGGTAAAGCAATACCTGCAAAAAAAAAAAAAAAAAAAAAAAA